ACAGCTGGGCCCATTTCTGGGTTCTCAATTCTGTTACATTGGTCTATGTGCCTGTCATTGTACTAGTATCATTCTGCTTTGGTTACTATTGCTGTGGCAACATATCTTTTGATTTCCTGAATATTGATGCCAAGAGTGTTGATTGTGGAACCAAGCAGGCTTAAGTTGTTAGCCTCATCAATATTTTCTCCATCTTTCATGGTGCTGCCCATTGACCTGGTGAAAAGGATTTTTGTTTTCTTGATGGTGAAATGCAGTCCATATTGAAGAACTGCATTTCAACAGAAAGGGAGCTCTGGTGACTTAGTGGTAAGGAATTGCACTACAACCAAAAGGCCAGCGATTTGAATTCACCGGCATCTAGGAATTTATTCTGACTTGAGAGAAATGTCTCACTTGGATTCAACGTACTTTAGTCTTAAAACTGGCATCATTACTCTTTAGCACATTGGAGAGGACTTTGACAGGAGATTTCCCCAATGCAGCACATCTTGATTTCTTGACTGCTGTTACCATGGATATTGATTATGGGTTCAAGTAAAATTAAATCATTGATAACTTCATATATCATTTTTTCTTTATATATCATATATATTATATAGATATCTAGATATATCTATAGATATCTATAGACATCTATAGATATATCTATCTATATCTATATCTATCTATCTATCTATCTATCTATCTATCTATCTATCTATCTATCTAATCTTTTCTCCATATATCATTATGTTGGTCCAGTGGTGAAGATTTTTGTATCTTGCTGAGCTTTGATCTTCTGCAACAAGTATTGCAAGGCTAATTCACATCATTCAAGCAGGGGTGTGTCACTCATATAACACATGTTGATGATTCTTCTTTCAATCCTCCAATTCATATTCTTTATATAGCCCAGCTTTTCAAATCATTTGCTCATTATACAGATTGAGTAGGTATGGGAAAAGTATACAGCCTGAATTTTAAACCATGTGGTATTCTCTTGTTCTTTTCAGACAATAGTTTCTTGGTCTATGTATAGATTTAATTTTTTTTAGCACAATTAATTGTCCTGGGATTCTCATTCTTCACATTTATCCATAATTTGTCAACACAGTTTGATGCCTTTGTATAGTCAATGACACATGAAATACCCTACCTCTTGACACACCCTGGACTGGAAGTGTTGTTTGTGACCTGGCTCACATCTTGGGGCTGAGGTCATCACTCATACAAATAGAAACTCTGACCTGACTGGACACCCCAACTCCTGTCTTCTGCTAGACTGGCAGTTACACTTTCCCAGACAGTTTGTTTTCCATAGCAAACATTTTTGTTTTGTGACAATTGAATGTTTGTTTTATGGATTTTCCTTATTGGTACAGTACCTATCTGTCAGTTTAAAGTATGTGAAGTGGTAACTTGCATGTTGTTCCTTATTTTGTAGTTTCTTGTGTTTAACCTTGAGGAGAATGGGAATCCCAGAACACATAATTGTGCTTATGCAAAACCTGTGCTTGGACCAGGAAGCAGTCCTCAGAACAGAGCAGGGAAAAAAACTTCATGGTTCAAAAAGGAAGGGAGTGCATCAGGGATGTATCCTGTCTCCATACCTTTTCAATCTATATGCAGAACAGATAATTTTGGGGCCTGGGCTTTATGAGGAGGAATGTGACATCAGTGTTGGAGGAAGACACATTACCAGTCTACATTATGCAGATGACACATTCTTGCTTGCTGAAACTAAAGAGGACCTGAAGCTCTTCCTGCAGAAGGTTAAGGACTGTAGTCTTCAAAATGGATTGAAGGTCAACATTAAAAAGACAAATATTCTCACCACTGGGCCAGTTTGTAGGACCATGGTGGATGGAGAAGAGATAGAAGTTGTTAATAGTTACGGCTTGCTCGGCTTCACAATTAACACATTTTTGGCACCAGCAGTCAGGAAATCAAAAGGCAAATTGCATTAGGTAAATCTTCTGTCAGGGACCTTTCCAGAGTACTGAGAAACAATGATATCAGTGTAGAGACTTTGGTGACCCTGATTCAGTCAATGATCTTTCTATTACTTGCTTTGCATCAGAAAGCTGGATGATGATTAAGTATGATAGAAGAAGAATTGATGCCTTTGAGTTGTGTTGCTGGAGAAGAGTCTTGAACATACTGTGGACCACCAAGAAAATAAATATGTCTGTCTTGGAGAGAGTAAAACCAAGTTTCTCCTTAGAGGCTAGGATTTTGAAGCTCTTTCTCACATCCTTTGGGCATGTGGCCAGGACGGACCAATCCTTGGAGAAGGATATTATGCTTGGAAGGGTGGAGGGACAGCGTAGGAGAAGATCCCAGATGAGATGGATTGATACAGTAACTAGAGCAATAGGGGTAGGTGTGAGACTGATGCAGGACATGGCAGGCTTCAGAGCTGTTGTACAAAGGGTCACTATGAGTCATAGGTGACTTGACAGCACATAACAACAACATACGTGTATTCTTGCTTATTTATAGTTTTCTCTTATGCATACAGCACTTGTCTGTCAGTTTGCTGTACTGGGGTGACCTGCATGTTGCTGTGAGGCTGGAAGCTATGTAACTGGTATTTAAAAATACACCAGCAGGGTCACCCATGGGTGAGGGGTATCAGTGGAGCTTCCAAACTAAGACAGACTAAGAAACAGGACTGGCTTTCATTCCTCAGGCCTTCCAAGCCCTATGAATAAGAGGGAACAGTTAGAGATTAGTGAAATTAATATAAATGTTTCATATTAACTGTAGACTCCTGGCCAACAGTCAAGCAACCTCTCTGTGCCCACTCATGCCTGGGCTCCTACCTATCTCTAACTCCCATTCATTCTAACACCCTGCTACAGCTCATTGTGCAGAAAGTTTACTTCAGCATTTCAGTATATGTGTGTTCATTCAGCAAATACTGAGCCCTGTGCCACAGAGTGAGATGCAAAGTCTTTGCCCTCAAGATGCTTACCATCTGCTGAAGAGAAAGCATCAGAGATGCCATTCTCAAAATGCAGAACTCAGGAACATGAACACGGAACATGTCTGCCCTTCCTGGTAATCAATTCAAATGATGATAAATTTGTCCTCATAATATGCATTTCATGTTGTCTTGCTAAAAACCAGACCCATTTCTGTGGCATCTATTCAGACTCCTTGCAACCCACATGTCACAGAGCAGAACTGCTCACAGCATCTCTTTGGCTGTAATTGTAAGGATACAAGTCCTCTGACTTTTCTTACACAGTGTCTTCAGGTGTGTTCCAACCACTGACCTTTACCTTAGTGCTGAGTACTAGTCTCCTGTTTACCAGGGATCATTTATTTATATGGCATTATTATTATTAATTATTATTACTAATACTTAATCAACACTCTTGGTAACAGCAGCCAAAAAATTAAAAGACAAACAGCATTGGGAAAGTGTGCTGTCAGAGACCTCTCCAAAGTATGGAAGAACAATGATGTCAGTATGGAGACTAAGGTGTGCCTGGTACAGGTCATGGTATTTGCAATTACTTGTTATGTATCAGAAAGCAGGAAAGTGACTAGGGATTATAGAAGAAGAATTGATGCCTTTGAGCTGTGGCCCTGGAGAAGAGTGTTAAATATACCACAGACTACTAGGAGAACAAGTAATTTCATCCTAGAGAGGGTGAGACCAGGCTGCTCCCTAGAGGTGGTCCTTGGAGAGGGACATCATGCTTGGGACGGTGGAAGGACAGTGCAGGAGAGGAAGATCCTCAATGAGAGGGATTGATTTATTGACTGGGGTAATAAGGGTAGGTGTGTCAGAGATGTGGAAAGCATTGTGGCGCTTTCTCAAAAAGTTGCAAATAAAGATACCATTTGACCCAGCAATTTCACTACTGGGAATATACCCTAAAGAGACCATAAATGACATCCAAGTAGATATATGCATACCCATGTTGATCGTGGCTTTGTTTACAATAGCAAGGAGTTGGAAACAACCTAAATGCCCATCAACAAACAAATGGGTAGAGAAGCTGTGGTATATTTGCACAATGGAATACTATGCTACATTGAAAAACAAGGAACTCATGCAATATTATTCAAAATGGGTGAACCTGGAGGGCATTATGCTGAGTGAGGTATCTCAGTCACAAAGGGACAAATGCTATATGGTGCCACTGTTGTAGAATGAGGCTGGCATTGGGGTGGGGGTAAGACTGAGAAAAACTGGATGAAATATGTTTACGGCATTGAAGTCTATGGGGAAGAGAATAGTCTAAAAGTATTATATTTTAGGGCATTATTTTTATCGTAGGAGTATGCAATGAGGGTTGCAGAGTGGATTATATTTGGGGGTAGGGGTGGGGTCTGGGGAGGTGCGGGGGGGGGGGGTGTGTACCAATGAGGGAGTTTTTGTTTTGCTTTTCAAGGAGAGGAGCAAATGGGGGGGAGGAGGGAGGGGTTTGTGTGGGGAGAAGGTGCAACAATGAATGAATGGAATCCCAAAATCTCTGTAGATGTTCATTGAAATGAAAAATAAACAACCTAAATTAAAAAAAAAATGGCACAGGATAGAACAGGGTTTAAGTGACTCCACAGAACATAACAACAATGTTATGGTAACACCAGTGATGGTCAGTTCGGGCAAGTAGTTACACCTGGTGAGAACCACTGCCTACTAATAATCTAGCTGGCGGCAAAGTACGGCTTTGTAAAGCACAGATCATGGACATGTCACACTTTTTTCCTAGTACTACCACTCCTGAAAATTCATCCCAATGAAGGAATCAAGCAGGAAGGAGTAAGAGGAAAGCAAAGAGAGGCCCTTCTCCTTTCCTTCTTCCTCCCAAGAATATAGTCCTTGAGGAAGGCCTGAGTCCTGCCCACCTGGTTCTCCAGGGGATTGCCTATGGTAACACAAAAGCAGTTACCTGCTGGGGAAACATCTCCCTTCCTGAAGGTACAATGGACACGAGTGTTGCAGGAGGGGAGTCCAAACACCACTGACCAGGTTCCTCCACTTTCTTCTAGACACTAAAATGTCAGGAGAGATGGAGAAGCCGTTGATCAGCCACCACATGGAAATGGTGACAGCAGCCTTGCTGTGGTTTGTCCTGAAGCCCTGGACATCCTGGGCAGCAAAGTCTTTGCCCTCTCACTGGCTACAAGTCTGGTGGCCTCTGGGTTCAGCATTGTGGTGGGGAGCCGAACCCCAAACGTTCCTCCAGGCTATTCCCTTCCACAGTCCGTGTGACTTTCCAGGCAGAAGCAGTGAGCCCTGCCAATGTCATCTTTATGACTATGATCTGAGGCTCTCAGCAACCAGATGTCCATCATGATACTGGTAGACATAAGCAACCCCACAGAACAGGAGCACCATGAGCACCACCAGTCCAATGTTGAGTACCTGGCTTCCCATTTCCCTACCTGCTTGGTGGTCAAGGCCTTCAGTGTCATCTCTGTCTGGATGCTGCAGGCTGACCCAAGGGATGGAAACAGACAGGTAAGTTCTGAGGGAGAAGACCTCTGGTGACAATAAATACAAATGGCTTTTCAATGTCTGCCTTCTCACCTGCCTTCAGCACTGGGTGCTGTATGTTATTCTCACAGCACTGCCAAGCTCCATTTTAAAGGGAGGAAATGGAGACTTACAAATAGTAATATTTGCCAAACCCAGGGTCCCACAGCTGGGGAGCTGAGATCTGAACCCAAGACATGCCAGTTTGAAATGCATGCTCTCTATCTGGACCTCAGTGCCCTTATTTGGAAAAACAGGGAATAGTATCTATCTTGCAGTTCTGTGAGGCTGTGAAATCGTGGCTGTAAAGCCTGGTGCATATTAGATGCTCAATTAATTCCAGTACTGGACTGAGTTTAGGAGGGAGATGCTGATGGTCTAGAGGTCCTGATAAGGCTACTCTGTGCTCTCAAGTGGAAGCAACGGCCTTTGAGACTGAGAAGGCTGGGCCTTACTGTCAGCCAAGGGCCACCAGGGACCGATCTGGACTGAGGAGTGGAGCTGCAACACCAGCTGCACATTCTGAGATATGTGCAAAATCCTGTTATTAGTTTGGAGTTTCTTGTAATGGTGGTAGAATAACTGAGAAATGGATAGTAGTGACAATTTTATAGCATGATAAATGTAATGGATGTTACTTAACTGTATATGTAAAAAGTGTTGAGTTGGCAAAACGCTTCATTGTATGCCATTTACACAATAAAAGTAAAAAGGCTTCTTGTTTAGTGGCCCCACCACAGGCCATAATTCTCTGAAGCACCTTTTCCAAGGGCTTGCAGGGCCTACCTGGATGAGTGCTTTGCTGTTGATGTCATGACTGTTTATGCCCATGAGCTGATCAAGTCTTTTCTCAGTGGTGGTTGTTCAGTGCCATCCACCTGGTCAATTCTGACTTATAGTGACCCCAAACACAACAGAACACAGCAGTCCTAAGATATAAAATAAATGTGATATTATGTAATGTGTATGTGATATATATGTAATGTTAAGATATATTATAAAAATTATTAAGGTTTTTGTTGATTTAACTACACTGGCTCTTGTTATATTGAGATATGTATTGTAGACGGTGGAAAGTATATTTGGATATTGATGTATCAATGTTAGTGAATCCTGAATAATATAATTATGGGACATATCGTAATTTAGAGGGAAAATGTAAGCCAATTGAATATTACTTGGATATCTGAAAAGGGAAAATTTTCCCTAAAGCAATGTTTGTAGTTAGTGGAATTTGGTTCAGACTTTGGAGTTTAGCCTAAAAGATATTAAGTCTTACCCAGTAGTCTGAAGAGAGTTACATTTGAAAGAAGACAAATAGAAAACAAGAAACATGGGCAATGCAAAGGCAAAGTAAAACCAATGCCCATCATAGCTCCCCCTCCAGGACTTGAGGTTAAAGGAAGCTGATGAATAGATAGTAGTGACAATTACACAGCACAATAAATGTAATGTTCTGACTTGACCCATGTAGGTCTAAGGTTGAGTGAAGGGACCTTCATGGTAAGGTCTGGAACACAGGAAGAAGTGTGGACTTCTGCGTTGGCAGCTGATGCTCATTTGGACCTAGCCACAGATGGCTAGGGAGGTGTACCAAAACCCAACCAGATGAAGAAGAATTGTTTCATTCTGTGAGCTAGTATTGAATACTGTTACCTGATGGTTAGTACTGGACTAGACCTTTGTTTAAAGATGCAAACCCTCAAAGTTTCAACTGTAGTAGGAGATTCTTCAAAGATAAAGACATGCTTGTGTAGGAATGGACAAATCAGAAATTGATTATCTAAAATGGGGGATTAATATATAAAGAGTGAAGTAACTGGCTTACATACTCCCTTGAATATTGATGAGGGTAGGCGAAACTTGATCGTTCAGACAATGAGAGGGCAGAAAAGCCAGGGGGTGGCTTGTGGTGTCAGAAACCTTAAGAACTGACTCTTCCACCCATTATGTTAGACCCCACTTGGAACACGGTCTTGAGCTATCTCAATTGTGCACATTTGGGCTTGCAAATCATCAACAGCTTTGAGACCAGTATAAGAGAGTGCTTTCAACATTGTGAAAAAATTTGGAAAGTAGAGTAAGGTGGAGGGACAGGGTGAAGAGACTTCTGGGAAGAGACTGTGGCAAGGTGTTACCAGAAGAACCCTAGAGATGGAGCCACAGTTAAAGATTTAGTTTCTTTTTTTTTTTTTAAATTTAGGTTGTTTATTTTTCATTTCAAGATTTAGTTTCTTAATGACTGAAGGAAAAGCTGACTTGTAACTACTCTAGTATAAAGTTTGCTGGATGATTGAATAAACCAGAGGTGTATTTGTGCTCCTTAACTGGGCTTGTGCTTTCACTTGTTAAGTAAGAAGCTGTCCTGAATAACTGAGAAATTGTGTCTTGCTGTAAATTTGGCTTGGACTAAGCCTGCACTTACTTTGTGTAATATTCTTTTCCTCCACTACTCTCCAACCTATTTCCCTAATAAACTCCAAGACTGTGGAAAACTAAAAACCACTCCTTTGTCCTGTCCCATTCTCAAAATCACTGTTACATTATTGCAGTCACTGGGCAGTCTATCTTTTTGGAGGTCTTTTCTTTATTCACTTAATTTATACTTTCCTAAGTATAGTGTCCTCTAGGCACTGACTTTTTTTTTTCTATAATTATATTTTAT